TAAATTGAGGTCCCCACGGGTAAACAAGCTAATAAATCACACAGAATTAAGTTTTTTGAAAATCTAAAAATGCAGAAAGTTTCCTGTGAGGGGTAGGTTTAGGTGTAGGGTTGGTGTAGGACAATAGAATATACAGTCTGTCCTTCATGATGTTCAGGCCCTTTCCTCCCTTATAGTCCCCAGACATTTATAAAATAAAAGGATGATTTCTGAGCACACTGAACTCAGATAATGCTGTTTTATATGCTATTCAATGGGTATTTAGCTTAAAGGACTTATTAGGAATGAAAGGGCTGTTCATTACAAGCCCACTTGAGATATATACAGTGGGTACGGAAAGTATTCAGACACCCTTAAATTTTTCACTCTTTGTTATATTGCAGCCATTTGCTAAAATCATTTACGTTAATTTTTTTTCCTCATTAATGTACACACAGCACCCCATATTTCATTTGAAAGCCTTTTTTACACATTACAATAATTTGCACGATAAGTAATACAATTACTATTCAGAGGATTTAGTGTCGAGAGGTTTCTGTGAGGATCGCTCGATCAGTTTTGTGGTAACCTCGCATGTTTGTGCAGTGAACTGATTTGCATAATTCATTGCAAGTGAAGCAACATGGATCATGTGCATAAATGAACAACACTATAAACGAGATGCAGCTTAGCGTAAACTCACAGATGACCAGTCCAGAGTGTGTGAGCGGCTCATGAAAGATCAGAGATCTGAGCCTCAGTCTCAACAGAATACTGACGCTGAACCTTCATTTCATCTGGAGTTCCTATAGTACATCACATTTTAAGATGAGGTTAACATTTGTACAAGCCATCATAAACATTTTAAGACTATATATGTAGCCCAGATTGTAGGTTTGTTTTTGTTTTTTTCATTGAAACACTGCCAATAAAGTTTTGCTCCTGCATGTGGTGGACTGGAAGATCTTATGTGAAGGATAGTAGGAGGTAATTAGGTGCGCTTCTGTCCTGGATGGATCTCTCAGCTGCCAGAGGAAATGACTCCTCAGCCCAAACAGGAAACAGGCAACAGGCAGCAGTGTCAGGAAGTCTGCCATCCTGACAACAATAGAGCTCAATGTGGCGTGTGATAGCAGAGATGAGTGTGTGAAGAGAGGAGTTCATCAGCTCAGTCTTCAGATTCAATGGAGCTGCGCTGCTCTCTAACGAAAGTCTGTCAGTGACCGCGTCACACTCAGAATCAGCCAGAGTGATTACTGCGTGAATGTCATGAAATAATGGAGCATTTTCACCCTAAAATCCAAAGAACAAAGAGGCCTAAACAAAATGATGCACTTTTCTTTAAAGGGGTCATATGATGTTGCTAAAAAGAACATTATTTTGTGTATTTGGTGTAATGAAATGTGTTTATGCGGTTTAAGGTTCAAAAACACATTATTTTCCACATACTGTACATTATAGTTTCTCCTCTATGCCCCGCCTTTCTGAAACGCATCGATTTTTACAAAGCTCATCGGACTGAAAAGCAAAGTGTGCTTTGATTGGCCAGCTATTCAGTGCATTGTGATTGGCCGAATACCTCAAGCGTGTGACGGAAATGTTACGCCCCTCACCGTACTGTGATGCCCTGTCCAGCCGGAGCGACGACACAAAAACATGAAAACCCATTATAAACCAGGCATTTGTTGCATCCAGTGGTGTCATAATTACGGATTATAATGACTTATACTGTCTTTTTATGTGTTGCGTTGCATCGCGCCGCGTAAACATAAAACAATGTCTGCATCTGTGATCGGAGAAATGACAAACAACAAGCACATTGCTCAGAACTCGCGTTTGAATCGTCAGTGGCAAATCCTTTAAAGCGGGCTAGAGTGAGCGACGGTGGGCTAGAGTAAGCGGAGGCCGGAGGGCGTGAGTGATCGGAGGCCGGTGGGTTAGAGTGAGCGGAAGCTGAGATGCTAGAGTGAGCGGAGGCCGGAGGGCTTGAGTGATCGGAGGCCGGTGGGTTAGAGTGAGCGGAGGCCGGGGGGCTAGAGTACGAGGTTAATATGCTTTCCTACCTGCCTGTCAGCGTATGTATTTGCATACCTCCACCACCCTGTTTGAGCAGACATGATACATCATCAGTGTGACTGAGCGAGAATTATATTAGACTTTATTTTTTCAGACAATTAAGCATATTTAACCCACAGATTCGCAGTACTGAAACATTTCACTCTTCAGGCGGAGACAGTGTGTGTGTGTGTGTGTGTGTGTGTGTGAGAGAGTGCACCTGGTATTCATCACGTTATGGGGACCAAATGTCCCCACAAGTATAGTA